GTCAGAGATATTAAATGCAGTCTGGAAAAGTTGTGTAGCAACATTTCTACTGGTTGGAAAATCTCTAACGTGCTCAGTCCTCATCTTATACTGCAAGTGCACATGAGGGTGCCCGTGTATACACAGACACCTGTCCACAAAGCTGCATTTGTTACATTGTCCTCATGGTGTAACGTGTAGAGACAGTATCGCCACAGACCTACTGACTACCTCCGCTCACACAGAGTGAGCTCCATCTAAACTCTGATTCACAAATCCTTGTTTGTTGGCTTAGTGTGAATGAAGAGCAGAGGGGCCCCAGTAGGAAAACAAGCACACACCAAATCGGTCACAGTCACAGCTTCTACATATACAGATATGAAGCATGTGATACAGATGGCACTGATATAGTTGCTGGGAAATATGATGACTGAGGTGAGAGACATGACAAAACCTGAAACCAAACTATGTCAATTCTGAATAAGTAGCCTATCATTATTCGTCAAATACTTAAAAACGAGCTACTTAAAGTCTTACAGATTATTGCCAATTTCAAGCTCGCCTACAACTTTTAAAGTTAATATGACCAGATGAGATGGACACTGCCCAAACTACTTTAAGTTAACATTAGTCTACAACTGTTAATTTGTGGTTTCAATGACTCAAGTTATACATCAGGAGGATGATACAGCTGCAATCTATCAAAAATCTTAAGCCCCTTCTGACTTCTATCTCTGAATGAAGTAAAATGAAACCGTTAATAAGATTATGACAGACAAGCTGACTACATGGATTACTCTCCAAAGTCTCACATCCTCTTTATTCGACTATGCTGGCTTATTTCTCAACAATAAAACAGGCACAACAGTGACACAGCCTAGAGTAAGTACTGTATGTCCTAGTGGTCCTGTAGCTAGACTTACTGTAAGTCAAGTAGCCTAGTCTCTGTTAGTCCCTCAGGCTACTAGACTTTTATAGATCAATGTTTCCAAAGGTTAACACTCTGGATGATGGGTTACTTAAGATCAAGAATGAGAGAAATAGTAGTGGAAAAGATCAACAATCCAAAATAAATTCTCACCAGTGCAAACAGACTACTTAACTGTAGGGAGGAGACTGTCATGAAAGCCTTTTGTAGGGCACATACAGTGATATGGGATTACACTAACTTAAAAACTACAGCAAATTCCAAATTGAGGAGTTAGGACTTGTAACGAACTCTCTAAACGCTTCCATAATTATTTCGCCTAAATCTAAATTAAAATTAAGACTCACACTTCTAGCCAAAAACAAAACAATACTTCAGATTCACGTCGGCTGTGCTATAATCACTGAGGAATGCTTCATTGTCACATGGAAGAATCCCTGAACAAACTCAGTCTGGAAATCCAAGGGGTTTGTTGTTGTCTCGACTAAAGTTAACGAATGCCTAAAACATTTGGAATACTTAGCAAATCGTCTTGGAGTCCCGGCGGTGCTCGGTGTATCTTTATAACGGGAACGAGCTTATTAACCAAGTTGCACTGTGCCACCATCGAGAAAGCTTCATTAGCTTCAGTTATGTCAACAGCCGAGAAAACTAGTCTGCCAGATTCACTGTATCTAAATAATATCCAGTAAATTAGTCTGTGAATCACACGTCGAACTAAAATGGGCTCGCTGTGGATTCAGTCAGGTTATTACTCCGAAGGAGATGATGATTATTATGGTGCCAAAGCACTGCGACATTTAATTGACAGCTTGATGAACGGTGTTTAGCGTGGACGCGTTCACGGCCGTGTAAAACTAACGTCAAAAACACAAGTGACAACTTCCCTTACCTTAAACGACTCTGTTGTGAAGTCGTAGACGAGTGTAGCGGGAGGGCAAACGGATAGAAGTCACTATTACTGTTAAGTCTCCACGACAGAGAGCCTACTTTCACACACAACAAGTCTCCGTGAGAGCGGATCTGCTGCTCGGGTCTCCAGGCGGGACAGATGTCGTAGGTGGACAGAAGCACGGTCTTGCTTCCTGTTTGTTTCACAAGGTGAACCACCACCACTGCTGTTGCTGCTTATTCCTCCTCCAACTCTTCCTGCGCTGCCTCCGCCACCTATTGAAAGTTGGATGGAGTGACAAAAAGCAGGACCTCCCCTGAACATGTTCAAAATAAAAGCCATCATTGATGATTAGTGCAATTATTGTGCAATTCAATCTGCAGCCTTTGATTAAAGAGAAAAATCCAAACTTGGATAACAGAGTCAGTATACATAGACTACAGCAAGGGCATTGCATAACCATCTGAAATGAGAGCCCAATGTCATGACTACACTTTTTGTAGTTGGCCATTTAAAAAAGAAACCAGATTCCATTTTATTCTGCCTGACAAACTATCAGTGCACTATAAATACATATCCTACTGCGAGTATAGTTGAGGTCTACCATTAATGTAGTCTGATCTCAACAGGGAGCTAGTCTCCTCATAAAAAACTAGGGTTTACAGATGGGCCAGAAAATGTTCCTGTAAATTTACAATGACTTGAAGAAAGTGCTACTATAGCACCAGGATTTGTTTTTAGATTATATCACTACAATACAGTCTGTCTCTGTGCTTACCTTTTTTCAAAAAAAAATAAAAAAAATCTAAACATGCTGTTCAGTATTAAAGAAAACAGCAGCAACGAATAACCTAATTTTCTTTCCCTGTATAAAGACAAATAGCCTATCTGATCATCCTTCTGCATCAACATACACACTTATAAAATCAAAATAAAATTACACCACGTGCTACTGCTTTTATTTGCTGTCAAAAATTAATAAAATAAATACACTTTACTGAGAGCATGCCTGCAGTTCGGTAAAATGACCCTGTGAGGCTTTTATTGTGGAAGTCACATCTCCTTATTTCTGGTTTTACTCTGAAGCTGATTTGATGCAGCTCTCTCTTTGAGGCATGGGCACCCGGCTTTCTACGGCACAAAACACCTGAGCAGTGATTTCGGCCGAAAACACAATATGTTAAACCAAACTTTTTAAGAAAAACAAAAGTGAAGGTATTGGGAGAGCACCACATTTAGCTAAATGACAGTCGGCTTACACAGAAAGCGCGTCTCTTTAGCCGCTATTAGTCTTTTATCTAACCCGTAACCACCGAGTTACACCTCCAAACATCCTTCTCAAGTAACGCCCCGTTAGGTCGACAGAACATTTTACCTCTATGAAATGCAAATAGATCTGCAAAACAGCCAATAGGTCAGAGGTTTAAAAGATGACCTTTGCTTCCCTCTAGTGATCAAATGTGTTACTACATATTAACACAAACTACAAATACCAGCCTCCAGGAATGGTAGCGGTGGTTGTCATGAGAAATGTTAGGGGTTTGACAACTGTTTATAACCTTTGGTACAAACTTGTACATCAGTCAGGATCTATGGTAAAGTTCAGTGTATCATATAGATAATTTTTAAATTCCCTTTCCTGGGTGATATCTTGCCTAATGATCACTGTTTTGACCAGACTTTAAAAAAAAAAAAGCCAAATGTAAATATATTTATATTTAGTTTGTATAAGAATACAAACATGTTAAAAAAGCCAAATTTGTATTAAAAATACATTTAGTTTGTATAAGAATACAAACATGATCTTTCTCTCAGAATAATGAAACTAAACTGTTTTTGTTTGGGTGTGTGTATATATTTCATTACAGGTCTTGTTGGGTGTTCCCGGTCTGCAGTGGTTAGTACCTACCAACAGTGGTCCAACGAAAGAAATTTTCGTCTGAAATTTGCTAAACATAAGCTGGAAAGAAACAGTGAACTAGTGACAGGGTCCTGGACAAACAAGCCTACTGATGATGAGGTTGGCCTACTGTAGTTTAACCTTTTAAATTTCATTCATACTTTTCAAAAGATTCAGTTTTGTTTGAATCTTTGTTAAAATGGTTGAAAATGAGAAATACTTCACATTGGTCTCTATGAAGAGAAACAGTCAGGGGCTACAGTGGTGATATCACACCTAGAGTGTGGAGGCTATTGAATTTGTCTAAAAAAATTATCTCTGACTTGTCCTCATGACCACAGTTTTCATTGCTTTTACCAAAGTTTTTCACTGAATGGTCAACAAATGTGTGCTCTTGCTGACAGCAGAACTATGGAAGCAAACAGCTTCACAGAAGATGCACAGTGAGCTGCAGAGCGACACCAGAGCCAAACAACTGCCACATTGACTCCTATTAGACAGGTGGTCATGACATTATTGTTGATCGGTGTATATATATATGTGCGGCAGAAGAAAACTTACATTTGTATCATGTTTGTGCCTCTGTAACCTTGGTCGAGTTTCTCTTATACTCATTTTGATTTTTTGTTTTTCAAGAGAGACCAAGGTTATAAATGTAAGCAAAAGGGCTGATGAACGGTAACTATTATTTTTAGCTTGTGCACAAAAATGGGTGGTGTTCGGGTGTGTGTCTGTGGTTGTAACACTACTGATTCATTCTCACTGCAAAAAGATGGTCTTTCTCATGCCATATGAGGGCAACAAAGACCCATGCAGCACTGTTTTTACTGAATGTGAGGCAATTTAAAGGGAGAATTTGGGTGACTTTTGTTCAAAGAAAGCTGAATGATGACATTTGGTGTCATTGCTGCATAATGCTCATTTACAATGCGACGTATACAACTGGGGCAGATCTGGATGGCCACACCATGATCCAAACTATACCATCAGCGTGTCTGTCAGAAATACGTACAACATTGGGCCAAAAGTAAATGTGTTGGACCTCAGTGGTGATATAGAGACTAGGCTATGTCATGCTCCATAAGCTTTATGTAGGTGGGCAGGGGTTAAAGCCTCTCCCCAAGAATTCCCCTCATAATGTTTTCATCGTCTGAAATTTGCTAAACATAAGCTGGGCTCAAAGTAATAAGTCTGTGCTGTGTAGTTCATTCCAGCATGCTTCCATTACTGCTCCTCTTATTTGATTTAATGTACCCTAACTCAGTCCAAACCCACACTATGCATAATCACATCACCGATGATAAGCGTGTAATAAAAAGCACATTTAACTTGAAAGGGTACCTTATGTGAATGCGTATAATTATGGATATCAAAATATAATCATTTGTTTTAATTGTGAAGCCTTGCCAAGAGGTATGTAATTGTTTGAAAGAAATAGGGCTGAAACTGTATTGAAGCGTCTGAGATACGACCTGGGGCTAAGATTGGCATGCGCATAAAGGTAAGGCCAGGGTCAGGCCTAAGGCCAACTTCCTGATTTGCATGGGTATATTAGCCAGTAGGGTGAGTCTCACTTCACAAACCTTACCTTTTAAAGAAAATTCAGCTCTGGAATATTGTAATATTTGATAGGGCGCCATTAACAATAGCAGCCTAATAACTGACTGGCTCAACAGTCAGTGGTGGTGGCGGTGTGTCCGACATAGAGCGGGTGAGCTAGTGCACACTGGCTGTGGCTCACGAGGTCGTTAATTTAACTGAAAAATGGTGTTATTTGTTAAATACCTCCCAATAACACTCGTAAAGCAGTGGTATGAAATTTTAGGAAACCCTATAAATATGAAGGCATGGGATATTTTAGTGGCGATATAAGGTCAGTGTTTGGTATTCATATCTGAATGAAGTTATATTTCTATTACTGATAATGGTATGATGTGTTTGCAAGGACTATCTGTCTCACACTGTCCCCAGAGATCAGCCATAGTCTGATCATTAAGTTGTACTGGTTTATATGGCCAACAGTACCAGAAGAACAGGTGCTGGCCCTTAATGGTCTCTGTGGGAATTTGGTTTCAGCTTTGATTAATTTGAATGTTAACAGGAGAAGCGTTATCCTAATAGCTGCTTGTTGCCAACCCTGCGGAAGTTTTTAGGGGGGGAGAAAGGAAAGGAGTTTAAAAATAGACTACATCAGTGCACGATGGGAAAAGACCTGGCATTTAAAACCCGACAAAGCAATTTGCAGCTCATAATCAAGAGAACGGAAACATTTTATCGCATTTCCCTTTACAGTATAATCTGGCCAGTTCCGCCACACGCACTGTAGAAAGTAACATCAGCTGGTAAACGCTGGTTTGTATTAGTCTGTTCGAAAAAGCTCCGATGGCACATATTCATTCTTTACTTGGAGATGATATCCCAGTATGACAAGCTGTTTGTTCAGTGAAGTGAGGGTTTTGGGAATATTTTTATTTTATGATCTGAAGAGTTTACCTATATGTGATTAGGCAGTTATTGCAAGAAAAGAAATAAAAATCTCCAGTCGCCATCATTTTATGTAGCAAACCCTCCGTACCAGTATCCCATACCTCTGTTCTGAAGGTCGGGATCCTGGCCGTCTTCATCTGGACGGTAGACTAGCTGATATTTGAGCAGCCCGGTGGTGCTGGAGGCTAAACAGAGGTCAAAGCTGGATGGTTTTTCCCTGTGAATAGATGACAGTCCATCTTGTCCTTGAAGAGATGACACTCGGGCGTATTTATAGACGTGATATTTCTAGACATTTGATGAACCCGTCTTGACCAGAGGTTCAGTTAACGAAGGCATGGTTCTTATGTATAACCTGTTTCTTAACACTGTATGTAAGAATTATTGTTTGTAATCAATTGTTTCATGGGGCTGTCATTAAGATAGAAATCAGCATTCATTGAAAACATCAGTGACAAGTTGCTTACATTGGAGATTCACCAGAGGACGCGTTCAGAAAATAAACAGCTCTATATTGGGTAATGTTACCGAACAGTAAGCGACTAACAGAATGAAATTTGTAGTACTTCTGCTGCAACAAGGAAAAGAAAACTTGCTGATCTGAACAATTGCCGGATTTTATTCGAATCAAATCGTTGCATATTTTCCTGTTTGGAGCAGAGCACTAAACAGTGGTGACCCCCCACTCGTCTTTTCATTGGGTTTGGGGTGATGTGCGCCGCTTCTAAGTGGAAATTGTTGCTCTTCAGTTTCAAGCATTAGCGAGAATGACAGGAATTCAATTGTGCACAGGCATTTGGGAGACCTGCAACCGGTGTGTGACTTGACCGGTCGGGTCGCATGGTGTCCCGTCGAGCATGCAAGCTGTCAAACCCGGAACGAGTCCAGGTATGCTCCTTTGTGAGTGTGTGTGTCTCGTCCTCTGTGTCTGTGTGACGAAGAAGAAGCGAGGGTGAAACGTGTTTCTTCTGCAATGAGTTGACCTCCTTCGTCTTGTTGTTTATAATCTGTCATCTCAGAGTTTACAACAAAGGATACAATCATGGTTATTCAGTACGCGCTCTGCGGAAATGACGCATGCAAACAAAACCGCACATTGCGCCAAATCTTTTCACCTCGAGCAGAAAAAAAGAGGATGAACAAAAACATCACCTATATGGACATAGGTCTTATTCATGACGATCCTCAGCAAAGAGACTTAAACGTCTACATTGTTGCATAGCCGATTTGTAGGCGGGTCCAGTCAATATTATTGGTCCTCACAAATTATTAGATTGATTTATAGAATAATTAACCCATAATTTGCCTTTATGGTTAGGTTTTTTGAGTTAAACCTGTCAGTAATGCCATGATAAATAAAATAACTGCTCACGCCTGCGGAATTATGCAGACAGATGTGCCACGAACTCCTTTCTAAGGGGAGTTTGTTAGAATAAATGGAATATATGGAAGTAGGCATAATAATTAGTTATAGTACTCAGTTTTCCAGCAATTATTCATTTTGTACAATTCACTTTATCACCAATAAATGTTAGAAACACTCTGGGTACATGCCAGCATTTTGCTTTTTTTTTAAAACAAACAAAACATGATGCAAACGGGAATGAGCTGTCATTATAATAAATATAAAAAAACGACTGTACACTGAAGCAGGCCTCTGTTGGAGCCGTGAACTTCTGCTGGCCTTATCTCTCTCAGCCCCTGAAACATCCTGTATGCAGGCACCATTGTTCCCGGTCGCCCGGCTAAACTGTTAGCCTCTCTGCGCAAATACACACCTGCTGCGCCACAGTCCATAGTCTTTTCCCCTTTACATCGAAATGTAGGGCTTGAGGTTTTACCAAATAAGGTGGATTAAGCCTCGTTTATTTGTGCTACTTGCGTGCAAGAATTTTTGATGCAGCGGTAGGAAGCTGTATATTGTGAAAAGTTTTATGGGCATTAGTTCATATTTTTCAGACACAGACGTGACTAAAGGCAGGATAAAACAAATAAACTGAAAAATATATCACCACGAGTGACAGATGTACCAGCAGTGGTCAGTGCTAATAATCAATAAATAGTCCATTCATCATTAGGCTTAAAGTGAATTGTTATACTCTGTAAAAAAAATCAAATAATGGATTAACTTAATGACTGCTAAGTTTAAACCAAGACTTTAAAACCTTTAATTCACTAGATCCATCTCTGCCTGTACATTTTATGTTTACACTCGTCGAAACATTATTTCTTGTAAGACACTTGTATTTATTATTTTTGGAAGAGTGTTTACAATACAGTTGCCTTTCAAACGCGCCCTTATCTCCTTATTGTTTACAAAACATTAATGTGAGGAAGCAGAGAATGTACACAGCTACATTTCAGGCTCGCCTCTTGTCTGCCTCAGCACACAGGGGGATGGAGAAGTGTCGGGGGTTTGGTGCTGATGACATTCCCAGTCCAGCTGCAGCTTCATGCAGGCTTGTTGGGCAGACGACGTTGATGGCGTTTGTGCTCGAAAGACTGGTGCTTAATTTCCAGTAGACCATATATGATCGACTATTTAGCCTGTAAGAAGCATCCGGATGTATTAGCAGTGTGATTATGACTTTTATAAGTGGTGAACTGGGGATATTTTACAACTGACGTCCTGCAATACATCTCTAAACCTTTCAAATAAAAATTAAAAAGGACTTTATGTCTGATCACAAAGGTATAAAAATCATTGTGAACTTCACCAATAATAACCTATGGAAAAAAAAACTTATTTAACATTTATTCTATTTTGAAAAATGGAAATGGTCATTTAAATGTGCATTATGATGTTGACAGCGCGTTATTTATGTGACCTTGTGACTTTTTGCATTTTTAAAATAGGCCTATATATTTTAGTTTGCCCACATGAATTAACCTACTGGAAAGTGTCTGCGTAATTCAACATGCCAACAAAATTGCAGGCTCTGGTTACACAAGCGCACACACACACATAAAGGAAATTATTTGGGTTTTAATTTAAAAACGACTTGTTAATGGTGAAGCAGCGTTAATTAGCTTTTTACTCTTTGTACTCGTTCCAGTAATGTTGCTCCCTTCAGGCTACTTGAATTTACTGTAAGTGGAGACCTTTAAAGTTATCTACAGTAGCCTAAACCTTTTTAAAAATCTCTATATGCGCCAGTGTCTCAAATCTAGAAACCTTCAAAATAGTGTTTTATGTTCAAATAACCTTTCACTAATTCGAATATCACCACAAAAATTCCCCTACAATTGTGTGTTATGATTATAGCAGCAGTAGAACTGGCACTATGAAAACAAGGCTGCAAGTCTGGTGCAGCCGTCACCGCTACTGGCTGAATACTCCATGCTTTTATTTTGTCAAGGCGCTGATTTCGGCACGAGCCATTTGGAAGGGTGTGTATGTTTTTTTTATTTTTGGATGAGTCTGTGTTTGACAGTTGTTGCAGAGCAGAAAGGGTGACTCAAGGTAAATAAGCCCATTAAAATCACATCGGGAGACACTGGATTGTACTAAAGCGTGATTTCCGGCACCAAATGGCGCAGGCCTACGCGTGATCTCTGATTCAGTAATCCGATTTAAAATGACTTATTAAAAAGTAATATTAGGCTATATGCAATTGGCCTCAAAGCGCATTGCAGCTGTGAGTTGTCAAAACAGTCCATTTATTGTGGCGATGCACGCCTTAAATGTCAGAATGCTAGAAGTGGAAACAGATGACGATCATTTTGGGACGCGTTGATCAGGGGGACGGGGCTGAGATCAGTCAGTGTACCAAGAGTTTTCATTCAACATGTCTTTTTAATAGAAAAGCTATTTGGCTCTGGAGGTACGGGGTCGTCCACTGGGGCTCACTGGAAAGTGTCTGCGTTCACACTAACACAGCTAAGAAGGAGGAGACGCCAGTCAGGCTATTTCGACAAATTCGTAATGTCACATTTTGTAACAGAGGGTTAATTAGCGCCGCATGTAAGACGACTTTACAAACTTCCTGTCTTGTTTGCCTTATTTCCTAAATGGTTCTTTTGTTTTGGGTCGACAAGTTAACTGCACTAGCATTACTGTACTTTTGGCTGGTCGCACTCCTGGACAACACCTGGACAACTATTTCTAGCCTAAATAATCGGAGCAACATCACCGTGATATCAAATGTTATTATTGTTGTTGGTGGCGGTGTGGGTTTAGTAAAAGTGGAAAAAAAAGGATCTTCCCAAGTTTTTAGTTGAATGCATCAAACTGAGGATGGAACATCTGATCAGAGCTGTGTGTTTTGTTTCTTTCACCGTGCTGAGATGTGTTTTAAAAAATGTAATAAAGTAATAAAATACTCGATACGGCCATCCTCTCCATGCATCACCATTTTCTATACTGACACGGAATTGGTTTTAAATTACAATAAATGTAAATTATATTTAATAGGAAAAAGTTTGGGGCGGCACAAAATTATCCATGGATGGTGAATCGTGTTTGTTATAGAGTAGCAGTGAATGTCTAAAAACATTTATACACAACATAATAGATATCTTCGTCAAACAAATATCAGTTGCTCTGGGAAACAAATGATCAATGGCACCGTGAATGCACACGGTTATTGTTATTGTTATTGTTATTTTTAACGCCTCTAAGTTCTCTATTTGTGTCTCGTCACATTACGGGGATAAAGAGTTATTTGACTTTTTACGCATTAAACTTTGGAATGAAGAAGCTCATCTAACCCTGCGCAACAATTGTTTTCGTAAGATTATTGTAGGCAATTCTTAGCATTTCTAGAAAAAAGTAAGAATGAATAATGACAATACAGTACTTTAATGTTGAGTTACCTTCACAAGAACTGTTGCTGATTGCTATTTGTCTTGTGCCAACAGTGGTTACTGTCACAGCCTATAGCAGTAAAGAGATTACTTCATGACTACTGTATTACTTTAAGAATAGAAGTTTATTAAGAAATTCACAAACCTAGAAAAGAGGGAAAAGTGCTAATTAAAATGAAACATGGCCCCAACATGAATGAGACAATATAGCTAACCACGTTTATTTAAAAAAAATTATAATAATTAGAAAGATTAACAAAACCAAGCACTGGCTGGCGTCATACTGGAAACTATATCATACATACATATGGGATCAAGAAATATGAAAAACCCTGAATTGTATTTTTGGCAGTTTGATGGATCTCTACCCACACTGTCACTTTTTTTTTACACTAACAAGATTCACAAACATGAGATGAGGTGAGGTTTCACCATGCAGGCCTTGCTCAGTGCATGTTACTGAGAATGCCAAAAACAGCTCTGACTAATTACATATTAAAGTATTGACTTAATTAGGGCATCATATGTTTACGTTTCATTTGGCAATAGTTAGGATAAGCCGTGCGTAAAGTTGAGAGAAATCATTACGCATACCAGTTAGACACAGCTAAGGTGTAATGTCTGTCCTCGTGAAAGTGAAAAGTTTAGGAACAGTTTGACTACAATACCAAGTTATGACCATCAGTCCAAGTGTAACAGGCGCAACAAATCGCTCCCAGGGGTTATGCTACCTGATGTGTCCTGATGACTTCTTCACCTCCCGTCTCCAATTTGTAAAACTTTCTCAGCATCAACTCCCGCATACTCCTCATTTGCAGTTATGGATGTCAGCTGGACCCAAACAGCTAATCAGAATCGTCTCTTCAAAACAGTCTTCTTTCTGTTCTGAAATCACAGGAATTACCTCTGACTCTTAGAGTCCTCACTTCACACAGACCATTTGTAAACTTTAGATATCAATCCTCGTGTGTAACGCCGAGTGTTTGGTCTCGTGTTCCCAGTAAGAGCAATGCATCATGGAGAGTTCTGCGGGCTGGCGGGAGCAAGCGAACTGAAGGCCCGCTCCGTTACTGGAGGAGACCGGGGGCGGTGCCGCGGTGGCCGGGCTCAGCTGCTGGGCATGGTGGGGATGCGCTGGATGGTGATGGTGACTCATACCATTGTAAGAGTTCACCATACTGGGGAGCGCCATGCTCTGCACCCGGGAGTATGGGTTATAAGATGATGGGGCTGACAACCCCTTCACGTTCACTGGACTTACGTTGCCGCTGGCCATCTGACAGGACGTGTAGGACATCGAAGCAGGCGGTTGGCCTAGCGACCAAGAGTTGTTCATGAAGCTAGACTGCAGGTACTTGGGTGGGGACAAGTAGCCATAGCCGTCTCCTCCGAACAAGGACTTACCCGGCTGGAAGTGCGTAGGTGGAGGTCTGAACGGCCGCTTCATTCTGCGGCGTCTCCTGTAGTTCCCCTTCTCAAACATGTCCTCGCAGGCTGGGTCAAGAGTCCAGTAATTCCCCTTTCTCTCCCCGCCGCCTTCACGCGGGACCTTAATGAAGCATTCGTTGAGACTGAGGTTGTGTCTGATGCTGTTCTGCCAACCTTTTTTATTTTTTTCATAGAAGGGAAACTTGCTGATTATATACTGGTAAATACCAGAGAGAGTGAGGCGCTTCTCTGAGCTTTCCCGAATGGCCATGGCAATGAGAGCAACATAGGAGTAAGGTGGTTTCTGGGTCGGGTCCGACTTCTCAGAAACTTTCTCCTCGACCGGCTCCTCTTTGGGTCGCTCTTTCTCCTTCTTCGTGTTGTTGTCATGGATCATTAAGGTCATTGCGTCATCCTCCGGGTTTTGGTAAGTGGCCATCATTGCGCACACCAAAACAAAACAAGTTCAGTCCAAACGTCAACAAGCAGAAGTGTTAAAGGCGCTTGTAACCTCGATGAGCAAAATGATCTGTTGTAGAACTTCAGGATGCACCGCGAATGAAAGCTGTCTTCCAATCTGCGTTCACAGAAACGTTTATTTTGCAGCTCAGTAGCTGACATGCACAAATACCACTTCTCTCTTCAACGAAGATTTTCCTAAACTGGTTTCTGATGCAGGCGCAACCCAAGTTGTGTGTAAGTGAGTCGGCAAGCCCAGCCCTTTCCTCTTTTTTCAGGTCACTGACAGGCTGCCTTTGCTCCAATGCTGTCCATGGAGCGACGTAGTGCTTCGTGATTTGTGCGTATTTGAGTTCCGCCTCCGTTGGTTACACTGGATGAAAAAGTTATCTTTTTTTAACATGTTGAAATTTGTGTTTATCTGATCCGCGTTAAAATAGCACACTATGAACAGCAAGCATCTATTTGCATTTAAATAGGAGACAATTATTTGAATGCACAAATACATCAAATCGCAGGGATTTGTTAATTACATTCAGTTTCATAAATTACTATTAAACATTTCCTTCTGTTGTGCTTTTTGGATTAGCAAGTAAGCAGGCATTACAGAGGTTGATTTGTGAGCTCTGGAGGCTTTCACAGCCTAACCCCAGACGTGCACATCTGCCAACGGCTGCATGTTCACAGCTCTAAGAAACTCTGGATAGATAGCGCGACTTAATTAGCTCACATTGAGAGGGAAGTGCACGAAGAGGTATACATTTCTCTGGCCACCCATGAGGGTCCACTCGGCTTTCTCTGGGAGTGTATTTCCGTGCTCCGGGGAGTCTGTGCAGGTGGAACAGCACTGGTATGTGTGTCATCACCCTGCACGCAGGCA